CTACTTGCTTTGATTCTGTTTTATCTTCCTGTATTTTAATCATGTAAAGCACTTTGCATTGTCTTTGTACTGAATTGTGCTATACAAATAAATTTGCCTTGCCTTGCCTAATGAGTTTGTAAAAACGTTCCACATTTTTATTTTTTATTCCGGTTTATTATTGAGAAGAAGGAAAAAGAAACAAGTAACACAAAGTTAGAAAGGTTGCATACATTGGAAAATGTTTTTTATTGTCTTATTTACAGGATCATGATAAAAAAGAAAGGGTATCAAAATATGTAATTAAGCACTATAAATCATTACTTAAAAATGAGTTGTTAAAAAGGTTAAAGTACTTAAAACCATCTTTTTTAATGATCACGCAGACCAAAATATAGTTATGTTCAATGTTTTTTAGTATTAAAGATAAAAAAAAAAGTTTGGAAAATATACTCGAGAGAATAATATTTATATGAGAGAACAAACTAAACACGGATCTCCATCCGTTTGGGACATCATAACTAATATTTGTGTGTAAAGTTAACAGCGTGACTGATGCTAATGCACTAGTCTGCCACTGATCTCAATTTATTCACTAGATTGCTGATTGCCTGTTGGTAGTACGGGGTCTAAATGAAGCCACCGGCGGCCATATTGGTACTCCCCAGTTAGACCGGTTGCAAAGTAAACAATATTTGCTACAGCATCGAACAACAATGATGCTCTCATCTTCAGGAGGACTTAAGACTTTTAAAACATTTTCGGACTCGTCAATCTGAAAGAAGAAGAAGCAGAACTCCTTTGTTTGCACTTTGGCAGTGTTTGAGGTTCTGGTAAATCAGCTCATAGCTCTGGTTCAACAGCAGGACCACAGTCAGAGGAATATCATCAACCTCCCCACGCCAGACCCCGGCCATCTTCCATCCTCGCCTCACCCAGGGGTCAGCTCTCTTTTATCAATCCCTAATTAAAACTCCACTCTCCCTCATTGCAGACGCCACCATTCTCTGAAGCCTCCTCCGCACTCCTGAAGGATCAAGAATTGTCTGTTGATCGATTTTATTATTTTAGATAAACCCTTATTTGAACTGCGTTGATTCTGCACGAGGGTCAGAAAGTTAAATCCGAACATGTCGGATATTATCCTTTGTGAAATTGATAATAACAAAGGAAAAATCAATGAATATATGTAAATAAAAATAAAACTATAAGTAACTATTAATACAAAAAAGGAAAGACAAATAAAAATAATGAAAATTAATTGATAAAATATATAAAAAATGCACAACTGCAATCAAGTCAGGACAATGTATGAGTTTCTATTAGGTAATATTACTTTAGATGATGAAGGAAGAACTTCATGTTAAAGGAATAGTACACCCAAAACATGATTAGCCTTCATTTTCTACTCACCCCCATGCTGAACAACACTCTGGAGTACTTTTTTGATATCTCAAATGCATCTGGAGATCTGGGAGGCTTCTTGCTGTCTGCTGACATTCAAATAATGGAGGTCTATGGCGCCCGAAGCAGAAAGGTCCATAAAAGTCCACAAAAAACGTGTCAATATTCCTCCATACTGCTCGTCCAATGTATTCCAAGTGTCCTGAGTGGGTAGCGTCCAGAATTTACTCGAAACGAAGTCATTTAGAATGTTTTTAGAGCATAAACTGTAGTGTATAGGATTTCCTGAAAGCGCGTTCACGAGTCTACGGAAACCGCGGCAGACCAACCCAGATGAAAGTGCGCATTCAGCTTCTGCTCTGCCGATAATGCAAGCGTAGAAGAAGAAATGTGCCGTTTACCTGTGCAAAGAAAGAAACAACGAAAAAAAAATGTCTGAGGACTTCAGTGTTGAGGAAGAGCATGAGTTCTTTGCCGAGCTGAATGCGCACTTTCATCTGGTTTGGTCTGCCGCGGTTTCCGTAGACTCGTGAACGCGCTTTCAGGAAATCCTATACACTACTGTTTATGCTCTAAAACATTCTAAATGACTTCGTTTCGAGTAAATTCTGGACGCTACCCACTCAGGACACTTGGAATACATTGGACGAGCAGTATGGAGGAATATTGACACGTTTTTTGTGGACTTTTATGGACCTTTCTGCCTCGGGCGCCATAGACCTCCATTATTTGAATGTCAGCAGACAGCAAGAAGCCTCCCAGATCTCCAGATGCATTTGAGATATCAAAAAAGTACTCCAGAGTGTTGTTCAGCATGGGGGTGAGTAGAAAATGAGGGCTAATCATGTTTTGGGTGTACTATTCCTTTAACCCTGTGTGGACCTACTTAGAGGAGACTAAACTAATTCACAGCAGACGTTGTGAAACAAACAGGAAAAAAAATAGATCAATTTAGAGTTGCAGATTTGAATGTGATTCGAATCTATTTAAACCTGTTTTGTGAAATGGACCTCAGTTGTTTCACATTCAACAGGCATGATATAAAACACCTGTTTTTCAGTCCTGAAGCTGACATAGAATTAGGTGCTGCTGAGTTTTTAGAAAGTGATGTTTCGCTTTACAACTTTACAAGGTTTATTCCAGTTTTATCAGGTTATATTAATGCATTTTTTTTTAGCACTATGTTTTTTTTCTTCCACAATGTTTACATTTGATCACTGCTGCCCTTTATGAAATGGAAATTTCATTTATTGTCTGAAAAGCTGTACTAAATGAAATTTCGATTTGTATACACTCCGTGTATGCAAAATGACAATAAAAGTTTATATTTTTAACTAGAACTGGAAGTTTTAGTTGGATAATAATTTCATTAAAATCAAGGGTAAAACCGAGTAATTAATTGTAGTGAAATTATTATAACTAACTTGTTGCTCAATTTTCCAGCTGTTATTAACTGCTTATCTTTGTGGTTGGACTTCTTGATCCAGCTGTTGAAAATCCCATAACTATGTTTATGATTCAAACTGTTATTAACCATTAACCATGCACATGGGGCGTCACTGTGTTGCCATAGCAATGGCTAGTGAACAAAGTACTCAACAATAGTACCTGATTAAAAGTATTAATACTCATTGTCTTATCTTACTCAACTACAAGTAAAAAATACTCTATCAATAATCTACTGAAGTTAAAGTATTAAGGTACTCACTTTTGAAAATACTTGAGTACTCATTTCTGAAGATTCTCAGTCATTCAGGTCATGGTCAAGATTGAAAAAGTTCAGGAACTTTTAGGAACAATAAACAGAAGATTCCCCTCCCGCTCGCTCTCACCTGACTCATGCTTCAATGAGGCATTTCACTGGAAAAAAATGAAGTCTTACTAAGTCATTGCTTCTTAAAATACGTGCGTTTGTTCTCAGTTTGAGGAGGTAAAAGAGACATTTTGCCAATGGAACAAGACAAACCCAAGAACAAATAATGTGTGTCTGTTAGATTAAAATTTCTGTATCTGTAGAATGGTTCTCTTTTATGTGTTGTCTTCTCATTTCAGAGGGCCCCCTGCCTGTTTTTGCCTAGGGCCCCAAATATCCTAAATCCGCCCCTGTATCAACGTATGCCTTGGATGCCTGAGAATCAGCGTATCTGTCCAAAGCGATGCTCTGTTCAACGTTCCAGGCGACTGGTTGATCAGAGCGCTGATCGGATCAGTCCGATAAGTTTTTCTGGTTCCTCTCTGCCAGTCACCTAGTTACCACTCAAAGCGGTGCATCCTGGGAAACGGCAGACGTACAATCCTCCAGTAAAAAACGAAAATATAGGACTAATTTTACAGCAGAATAGACTAAAGTATATCCATGTCTAGTGAAGGGGAGGAACAGTGGCGGATCTAGACCAAATGTACCAGGGGGCCAGGAGGGGGCCAGCGTGTTTTCATGGGGGCACAGAATATTTGTATTTGTTGTGGAAAATAAAAAATATTTAGCAGATGAAAACTGGGATCCTATCTGAATCCCACTGAAGCAATCACCTTATTGTTTTTGAATAATTAGTAGAACAGAATTTGTTAAGAAAAAGAATGAAGTAGATCCAAAGGACCTATCAGTAACCATGTCTGTTCCAGCGCATCATCATTAGAATTTCTGGCCCCCGTTGGCCCCTGTCTAGGACCGGCCATGGTGATGATGACACCGTGGTGAGGTGCACTGTATGCTGAAGACCCATGAAAAACAGAAAGCACCGATGTTCAAGGCTACAAGATAGAAAGTATTGAAAATAAAAGAGAGAGAAATATCACCTTTGTTTCTAGATGTTGGAGCTTGGCCTGTTTTTCAGTGTAGTCCTGTTTCTCTGACTGTGACTAACTGGATGTGCTCTCTTCATCCTCTGACTTAGGAGCTGGCTCGGTGCTCGTCTGCCTGGCTGTGTGTTTCCTGGACGGGGCCGCCTTTTACAGCTGCTTTTTGTATCTCTGCTTCTGTCTCCTTGAACCCCAGTGGGCCTCAGCAGATGGCCGCTCACACTGAGCCTGGTTCTGCTGGAGGTTTCTTCCTGTTCAAAGGGAGTTTTTCCTCGCCACTGTCACTACAAGCATGCTTAGTGTGAGGGATTGCTGAAGAGTCAATGAGTCGATGCAATCAGCTGGTTTTCCTTAGATAGAAAACTATGAATCAATCTGACTGGATGATCTGGTGAACTGGAAAGTGACCTGAGATGACATGATGTGAATTGGAGTTATAGAAATAAACTGAATAGAATAGAAAAGACCAACATTGTTCTATTTTGTGTTACTGTTAGTTAATAAGCGGTTGTTGAGAAGTTGCTGTCCTTTAGCGTGTATATGGGACATGGTGCGGGTCCGTTGTCCCCGGGGTGGGGGGCATCTCTCTGAAATGAGTTTTTGGAACTTGTGATGTCTGTCTTCATCACCAGCATAAAATTTATATATGTTTAAAATATAAATACTTGTGTTTCATTGGGGGTAATTTAGAGTCCTGTTTGTTCGAACATCCGAGAGACAATAACGAGAAACTGCTTATATCCAGAAAAGATCGAACGGCTGGGCGGGGCCGCAGAGGGAGTCAGAGGAAGGTGGGATTTCCCAGCTGCAGTGAACGCAGCACCAGCAGTGTAGTCTGAGCCAGTTGCAGCAGAACTTCAAACCAAGTCGCGGCCGTTCCGAGGAAGCAGCTCACTCAGTGCGGTCACACTTTAACCAGAACCGAACCGGAAACCTCAGCGGGCCAACATGCCGGCCACAGAGAAGGACCTGGCGGAAGACGCCCCGTGGAAGAAGATCCAGCAGAACACCTTCACCCGCTGGATCAACGAGCACCTGAAGTGCGTCAACAAGCGGATCGGGGACCTGCAGTTGGACCTGGGAGACGGCCTGCGGCTCATCGCCCTGCTGGAGGTCCTGAGTCAGAAGAAAATGTACAGAAAGTACCACTCCAGGCCCAACTTCAGGCAGATGAAGCTTGAGAACGTCTCGGTGGCGCTGGAGTTCCTGGAGAAGGAGAACATCAAGCTGGTCTCCATCGGTGAGTGACCGGGAGAGGAGCGGCCTGGGCGGCCAGGCAGCTCACCGAGCCTCGGTGGTCGGAACAGCAGGGAGGAAAGTTTAGCAGAGAGATGAATTTATTCTTTCCTCTAACTTTACTTTGATTGAATAAATGAGTAAAAGCTGAAACCACGTTCACTTTAGTTTCTCCTCTTTCTTCCTCCAAAGTCAGAAAACATGGATTTACGGTTTTCTTCTGGACAGAATCTCTCCAGTTTTCATTACTTGTGGAATGAGGGTCCCTGCAGGACTGGAAGTGAGCGGTTCTGGTTCTGGTTCTGCTGTGGTTAATGAGCAGCACATGGCCACACCTGTGTTGACTTACTGAGGCAGGTTTATGCTCAGTTCAGGAGAGTCAGGAAATATGACTCTTCATATAGAGGTAATAAATTTAAAGAGAAGAATAGTTCTCATTTTGAAATGAGGATGGTGTTTTCTGTTGGGAGGGGCCGCTCGGGGTCAATTCTATTCAGTTCATTTCTATAGCTCCAATTCACATCATGTCATCTCAGGTCACTTTCCAGTTCAGCAGATCATCCAGTCAGATTGATTCAAAGTTTTCTATCTAAGGAAAACCAGCTGATTGCATCGACTCATTGACTGTTCAGCAATCCCTCACACTAAGCATGCTTGTAGCGACAGTGGAGAGGAAAAACTCCCTTTGAACAGGAAGAAACCTCCAGCAGAACCAGGCTCAGTGTGAGCGGCCATCTGCTGAGGCCCACTGGGGTTCAAGGAGACAGAAGCAGAGATAGAAAAAGAAGCATAGATACAAAAGGCAACTGTCAACCAGCTCCACAGGCGGCCCCGTCCAGGAAACACACAGCCAGGCAGACGAGCTCCGAGCCAGCTCCCATGTCAGAGGATGAAGAGAGCACATCCAGTTAGTCACAGTCAGAGAAACAGGACTACACTGGAAAACAGGCCAAGCTCAAATGTCTATAAAGACAGCTGGTATTCTTCTCCAGGATGGAGTCACAGCCAAACAGGAACAGACCAGATGAAGCTACTACAGGTGCTGGTCATAAAATTAGAATATCATGAAAAAGTAGATTGATTTCAGTAATTCCATTTAAAAAGTGAAACTTGTATATTATATTCATACATTACATACAAACTCATATATTTCAGATGTTTATTTTGTTTAATTTTGATGATTACAAATGACAACAAATGAAAATCTGAAATTCATCATATCAGAAAATTAGAATATTACTGAAGACCAATAAAAACAAAGGATTTATAGAAATGTTGGCCAACTGAAAAGTATGAACATGAAAAGTATGAGCATGTACAGCACTCAGTATTTAGTTGGGCCTCCTTTGGCCTGTATTACTGCAGCAATGCGGCGTGGCATGGAGTCGATCAGTCTGTGGCACTGCTCAGGTGTTATGATAGCCCAGGTTGCTCTAATAGTGGCTTTTAGCTCTTCTGAATTGTTGGGTCTGGTGTATTGCATCTTCTTCTTCACAATACCCCATAGATTTTCTATGGGGTTAAGGTCAGGAGAGTTTGCTGGCCAATTAAGAACAGGGATACCATGGTCCTTCAACCAGGTACTGGTAGCTTTGGCACTGTGTGCAGGTGCCAAGTCCTGTTGGAAAATGAAATCTGCATCTCCAAAAAGTTGGTCACCTGCAGGAAGCATGAAGTGCTCTAAAACTTCCTGGTATGTGGCTGCGTTGACCCTGGACCTCAGAAAACACAATGGACCAACACCAGCAGATGACATGGCACCCCAAACCATCACTGACTGTGGAAACTTTACACTGGACTTCAAGCAACGTGGATGAAGTGCCTCTCTTCTTTTCCTCCAGACTCTGGGACCTTGATTTCCAAAGGAAATGCAAAATTTACTTTCATCAGAGAACATGACTTTGGTCCTGTTTCTCTTTAGCCCAGGCAAGACGCTTCTGACGCTGTCTGTGGTTCAAGAGTGGCTTGACACAAGGAATGCGACAGCAGAAACCCATGTCTTTCATACGTCTGTGTGTGGTGGTTCTTGAAGCACTCACTCCAGCTGCAGTCCACTCTTTGTGAATCTCCCCCACATTTTTGAATGGGTTTTGTTTCACAATCCTCTCCAGGGTGCGGTTATCTCTCTTGCTTGTACACTTTTTTCGACCACATCTTTTCCTTCCCTTCGCCTCTCTATTAATGTGCTTGGACACTGAGCTCTGTGAACAGCCAGCCTCTTTAGCGATGACCTTTTGTGTCTTGCCCTCCTTGTGCAAGGTGTCGATGGTCGTCTTTTGGACAACTGTCAAGTCAGCAGTCTTCCCCATGATTGTGTAGCCTATAGAACTAGACTGAAAGACCATTTAAAGGCTTTTGCAGGTGGTTTGAGTTAATTAGCTGATTAGAGTGTGGCACCAGGGGCCATCAATTTTGAACCTTTTCACAATATTCTAATTTTCTGATATGATGAATTTCAGATTTTCATTTGTTGTCATTTGTAATCATCAAAATTAAACAAAATAAACATCTGAAATATATGAGTTTGTATGTAATGTATGAATATAATATACAAGTTTCACTTTTTAAATGGAATTACTGAAATCAATCTACTTTTTCATGATATTCTAATTTTATGACCAGCACCTGTATGAGAAAAAGCAGAGAGAGCAGAACGTTAGAGATTGAACTAACAGATTCTGCAGAGTGGGAGAATAGAGATAGAATGAAGCAGAACGATGAAAAAGGGGTCCCTATGTCCTCCAGCAGTCTAAGCCTATAGCAGCATAAACAGGTTCTGTTGGGTCATACGTGGCCATTTGGGGCATTCCCTGAGTGTTTCAGTAGCTGTTCCAGCTGATGGTCCTTGAAGGTGTCAGGCAGGACCTTCTGTAGGACCATCGCCTCCAACGTTCCTTCATATTCTCCTTTTGTTTCTGAGGTCTTCCGGTTCCTCAGTCCTCAACATTTAGAGGACGGTTCTAGTATGACCCAGCTGACCAGAACCAGGTGGTTTCATAAACTCTGGGCTGTTTTTCTTTGTTCTATTTGTGATGCGTCCCATTTCAATGATTTTCAATGAGTTTCTGAAGACGTGGGTCAGAAGGGCCGAAGTCTGGCTGTGGATCGGTCCTTCTGTTTTCCTCCTTTTCTGACATTAAACACAGAGATGCACTGATCAGACGCTGGAACCGGCCTGCAGGTTCTGATCAGACCTGACTTTCCCCTCCCTTTTGGGTTCATAATCAAAAACAACTTCTCTTCTTAATTGGTGCAAACGAAGCAAACATTCATAGCAGGTCTGAGCTTTGCCGTTTATCTATGAAAGGCCTCAGATGATCAGATTTGTTCCAGGCTGTCCTGCCGGATGAGGAGCAAACCTCCATCTTCTCTCTATCTGTTCTCCTCTGCGGCTCAATGTGATTTCTCCCAATCACTAACGGTCTGCTCCCTCTGTATGGCCAGGACGAGGAAACGGGCATGAGAAACTGAAGGAGCTGCAAAGGTTTTAACCGGAGACCGCGGAGCAGAAATCAGGCCACAAAGTTTTTTTTGACAAAGAAAACATATTAGAAATTGAAGAAGTTTAAAGCTACTTTTCAGATTAAAGTTGTCCTGTTTCAGTGTGGGAGGCGGGGCTAAGATGACATGGGGTGTGGATTGATGACTGACACCTGAGGCAGCTAAGCTACATATTCCCAGATGCTGCGTTTATGGAGCGGGGGAACTATGAATGTTCTGTGTTTGTGATTATTCTTTAAGTCTAATCTGTTGCCGTCAGTCTGGAAAGGTGAAAATGACTGGAAATGAGGAGCAGCATATAAAGATAATCATTTTCTCCATGATTTATGTCATGAAAGCTCACATCAGAGAAACATTTTCATTTTTAGAACCTGCCATAGAACATCAATGAGGCTCTGAAGACTTTTTTTATTTCCAAAGGTTCCTAAATTCCCTTTGTTTCTACAGATAACTTTACAGATCCAGATCAATCAGATCATCCAGTCAGGTGGGTTCAAAGTTCAAAGGAGAACCAGACTCATTGACTCTGCAGCAAACCCTCACACCAAGCATGCTTGTAGCGACAGTGGAGAGGGAAAAACTCAGCAGCAGGGAATATTTTGTCCAGAGACCTCAGCTGTCTGTTATCATTCCACAACATGTCATCTAAGCCCGCACCGCGGACGCCGCACTTTGAAAATAAAAGTAGCTTTAAGTTGAGAATGGATGATCTGGGAATCCTGGCCAATAACGGATCAAATTTCTCCCCATAATTCCTCTGAAGGTTTTTCTATCGTTCATCTTTATGTCACTAAAACTTTAGAAAAATGTCAACACCGGTTATTTTTGTTTTTTTTTTGTATTTCTCTGGGAAATTGTGAAACAGCAGCCAATCAGGGATTGTTGTAGGTTAAAATGGAATACAGTGACGATGTTAAAAAGGGTAGAGATAAGGAGTGCTCTCAAGATGTCTTTAGGTGGCTTTAAAAAAAGCCTTTTTATTTTAGTCCTAGAAGCACTGCTCATCCTCACTCCCCTCCAGCACAGAGCCCGGTCTGCCACTGCCATTTCCCAGCATCGCTGTTTCTGCGGGGTTTATTTGCCGTAATGTTCAGACTATTAGCCGCACCTGAATAGAAGCCGCAGAAGCTAAATTGCATGATTTGTACATCTACAAGCTGCATCGGACTATAAGCCGCAGGTTTTTATGTTTAATGTCCGTCTTTCTCGCCGTCGTTCTGTCTCGTACCACTCGCCGTAGAAGTCTGCTTCCGGAGGACCTCCGCATTCCTCCACGCGCGGCTACCGTACTTGTGTGTTCAAGCAAATGTGACGTCAACATGGTGGATGGTAAAATCCATAGATTTAGGTATTACTCTAGTGGCCGTTAGCTGTAAAAGTCCATAGATCAGCCGCATGGTTATATAAGCTGCAAGGTCGAAAAATGGGGAAAAAGTCGTGGCTTATAGTCCGAAAATTACTAGGGATGCACGATATAATCGGCCCCCTATCGGTATCGACCTT